ATCATCATTATAGCTTAAGCCATTTTCAACTAATAGTTTAGCTTCGACATAAGTAAGACCAGCTTCTTCTCATTTTTTTTGATAATTTAGAAATGAGACTTTACTTGTAAATCCTTCATAGATATTTTCTCAATCCAAATTCTGCTCGTGTTCTTTTTTTAATTGACTTAAGTTTAGTTCTTGCCCCAATTTTTGTTCAAATTTATGTTTTTCTCATCATTTGTTTGCTCCTCATTTGTTACTTAAATAATTAGCTAAGTCATAATCAGTAGGAGCTAAGCCTTTTTGGATTCATTTTTGAATTTGTTCCACAGTAAAATTAGGTTCACTTCATGAATATTTTGTTCTTTCTCATAATTCTTGTAAACGAGGAGTAAATTCTGGGCAAATTTCTTTTAATTTTAAATAGTTAGTGTATTCCTTTCTTAATCTTTGAATATAATAGCAATATGTTTCCGGACTTCTTTTACCACAACCTTTTCTTTTTAAATAATAATCAGCTAACTTAACTTCTTCGGACATTAAACCAAATTTAGCTCATTGCTTACACTCCTCATGTGTAAATCCCTGATTCTTTCATCCTTGTTTTGATTGTTCTGCGAAATCTTTATAAACACTAGTTCAAAGTTGGTTGTATTCTTTTTTTAACTCTTCTAAATTTTCCTGCTGCTGAACTTTTTGGGCAGTAAAATATTTTTTGTATCTTAGTCAAGTACAAAAATCTCAATCATTAACTGTAAAATTTTCTCCCAAAACTTTTTTTCATTCTTTAACTTGTTTGTAAGTAAAGCCTCTTTCTTGCCAGTAATTTTGTAATCGCTCATATTTACCAAAATCTTCATGAATATCTGCTCAGCTTTTAGGCACTAGTTTTTTCTCCTAACTAACCAAACCATCAACCCCACTAAACTCATTCCTAAAACTCCACAACCAATTCCAAGAATTAATTTATAATTATCCCCTTTTTGCTCAACTTGCTTGGCTTCTAATTCTTTTTCTAGCTCCTTAATTCTTGCTTGTTCGTTAGCATTTAAGTTAGGTTTATTTTTTAGATTATTTAATTCTTGGGTGGGATTATTTTGGGATTGGTTAGAAGGTGAGTTTTCTAGTAAAATACTTGATTTTTTTTGGTTGGGCATATCAGATTTGCTTAAACCACTACTTTCTCTTGGTTTATGTTTATTTTCTTTATTTTTCTTATACTGTATATAATTTTCATTTTCTTGGGGAGTTAAGTTTAATAATATTTCACTTATTCCGCTTTTCTGAACCAAACATTCATCGGAACAATATTTTTTAGAGTAATCTTTGGGAATAGTTTTATTTAATTGCGTTTCTAAGTACTCAGCAATTAATTTGTAACTTTCATAAAGGTTTTCTCAATTAACTCATTGACAATTACGAGGGTTAGTATTTTTGCAGTTGGCACAATAAGGATGAGCTTGGTAATAAGTAGCACAACAGCTAGAGGAACAAAATTCCAAATTATCGTTGATTTCAGTTTCTATTCAAACTAAATCAGTAGTTATTTGTTGCTGGCAGTGGGGGCAAAGGTGATTTTGCTCTCTCTCTCTCTCTCTCTCTCTCTCTCTCTATTTATAATAGCATTCTTTGGAGCAAAACTTTTTGCCATCTTCTTGGTTAGTTCTTTGCCAGTTAGCACCATAGCGACTTTTTTTACATTCATCACAAGATGCCAAGCATTCATCTAAACAAATTTGGTTACAAAAAACTTTCTCGTATTCAGTGCCTTTCAAATAAAAAAAAGGGTCGGTCAGGTTTTTTTTTTGGCAATAATTACATTTAGAAGCATTTATCTTTTCTAGTGCTTCAAAATGTAACTCTCTTATTTTATCAATCAATCTTCTATACTTATCTAAAGTTGCTTCTTGACCGTCATTGGTTATTAATTCTCATAATTTACCATTCTCTCAATGGCTTTCGGCGTGACCTAGATTATAGATACTTTTGCGTAAGATTAAGCCAGATTCTTCGTATTGCTTTTCGACATCAGTTATTTTACTTAATTCTTCTAAGTTTTCTTTTATTTCTTTTAATATTCCGTGGTTTTCGCTATAAAAAGGAAA